ACGAGGCATTCTGGGCAGAAGGTCTACGGGCGCACGTATATCATGTGTATACCAGTCCATATCTGAATCAGAAGCACTGCGTTCAGACCCCACCTATACTTAGACTGAGTCTAGGTGACCATGTAGACCTACACAGATTGTTGTGGCTAGGTGACCTAGAAATAGTATTTGTAGCTAGGGGTAGGTCTGAGCAGGTCTGGGCAGGTGTTTCTAGGCCGATGTAAGTGAGTATAGGTACTCGTAGTCGCCTACGCAGACCCAATATAGTCTACAGTGTGAATAAATAGGTCTCGCAACATCTCTGTATACATTCAACCGAGATTCCGGCTACACTGATCTACGCTGATCTACACAGCATCAGCTTAGGTGACCTGATCACGGCTAGAAAAATGCTACAATCACTTACAGACATCCTGAGAATAGTTGCCTAGGCAAACCCTTTGTAGTGGCCTACGCCGAGCTGAAGTTACCTACAATAAACTACAAATGGCTGAGTATAGGTGAGGTCTGAACGTAGTGAAGATCGGAATTGGTGAAAATGGGAACCAGGATGGATTTTTGAGTTGCTTCCCCTGAAGTACATACGCACTCTTAGATTCATTTGATAGCATGTGATACCTTTTGTCGATTATTATCCAACGATGGGCGGTCGGTCCTGGCTATGGATTTGAACCGAGTCCTTATCGCAGGATTTTCCCTGGAATAAAGCATAATCACATCTGAGCCTACCAAACATCCAGAGGTCGCCTCGGCTGAGCTTATCGTTTTCATCGGAATGCACTCAAGTGAACGAGGAAACGCTGGCGGACGCTAAGTGGATTACCGATGTCTGTCCCAATTCGACAGATACGGATAAGTTTGGAGAGGCGGTCCTGTGAGCCGTTCTTTCTGCCATTTTCCGCTTGAATCGCGGCCAAACCTGGCCTATCGACGTTGGTAACTAACTCCATGCCAAGGCGGATCAAAATGAACGCAGATGAGATAACTTCTGCTTTGTGCCCACAAATTCACGCATTCAAACGGTCACGCATCAATCACACATCATTGATTCCGACAGCCCGTTGTTTTTTGCGCCCATGATCACTATATATTATACATCCTCATCGCCGGGTTTACCTCCTGTCTTTCGACGAAGACTTCCCAACACCAGTTACTCGCGCCCAAGCGAAATGCATCGGTGCTTACCAAATCTTGACGTCCTATCTCGACCCATCTCAAAAGCCGAGACAGACACGGCTTGCTGCTCTCGCTAGAACGTGCATCACCGGGCGGGAAATAAAGTAGTTTTTGACTCCTGATTTATTCTTCGCACGCACATGTCACGAAACCCCAGCTGTATCCTCGAGCAGCATACTATACCCCATCTTATTCACGCAAGAACCGTTCGGGCAAAGCCAAAATGTTTCATAAGCAAAATCCGTTACAAAAGATTCAGACGAACAAACTCAAACTACACGTCATTCAGAAATTGTTCTTGCCAAGATTCCGGGAGCCTCTGTCAATGGGGAACCTGTGGTAACTCAGAGAGTGATGGGAAGGCACTTGATGGCGATGGGGGTACCCCCAAAGTGCTGGACGGAATCGCAGTTGACCGTAGTTCCATTGCTAGCATTATGAGTCAGCTTCGGCCATTCCAGAAGACATATGCACCCACCAGTTGTTGCCGATCACGGTGATGGGTTTGCAGCCCAACCCAATGGGGACGGTAACGCCGGCGAGGTAAATGTTGAGGAGGCTGCCGACGGTAGAGCCGAGGATGTCGGTAGCCTCGCTGGACGACCGAACAACATTACAGCACAGGGCCAACGGAGGGGGATTGGAGGGGACGCCGGCAGCCAGGCCCTGCAGGGAAAGAAATTGGTTAATGCAGGCCGACTTTAAAGGGAGGCACGTACAATCATCACCGAAGTGACAACGACAGAGAGCTTAAAAAACATCTTTGAGGCTTGGCAGAGAGCTTGAACTACAGAGGGAGGAGTTCGAGTGAGAAATGAGCAGGGAAGGGAACACCTTTCATAGAGGATCGACAAGATGGTGGGACCGAATGCTTTTTACAGCATCGGCCGCGTGTCGGCGTACCCAGCCGGCGTAATCAAATGATCGTTTGTTGATCGCCGCTCCTCCTGGCCTCGGGTGAGCTAATTCCGCGGGATCAAATACCTCGTTTCCCCGCGCTAGACGGTGCTTCGCTTGGGCAATTGTTGCCATCTCTTCACTCCATGTAGCGCGAAGTAATTATCCAAGGCACTCAGAAGCTTTACGGTTCCAAATTCTTCCCAGGTGGTGTCGCCGAGGGTCCACTTTACGTGGAATTCGACTTTGTTGTCCACCCAGCGATGCGCCATAATGATATCTACTACCCATTCATCCTCGGCGGGTGCTCCGAAGTCGTATGGTCCAGTTCGACCGATTCGGGAACAGTTCGTCACTGCTCGCAACATATGGACGCAGCAAGCTCACGTGGAACCGGCTGTGCACCCGCCTCGAAGCCGATATCTCAGGCAATTCCAGCTCGTAATCTGAGCATTTTGGGAGGGCCTTCTGCACCCGGTAGGGCCCTACAAACTTTGGAAGCAGTTTTCTGGTGCGTGCCTTTGGAAGCGACAGGTTGTTCGTCGAAAGATACACCAGTGCGCCTGCCTCAATGGCGGGATTTTCCCTGCGGTGCTTGTTCGCTTGTATCGTCGAAAACACGCTCGCTTCGATTATCGCGTCATGAGCTTCTGCCAGGTTCAGCAGGGCGCGTTCTGCAAACGCTTTCACGCCCCGTGGCATACCTTTCTTGGCGCTGAACTCCCGCAACATGTGGGGCATGTACCCGCCCGACAATTCGAACGGGGCAAATCCCGTGGACGCGCTTATGCTCACGCCCGATTAGCGCTGACCACCGCCGGAAGAAGCCGAAACGCGGCCTCATAGGGCCACAGCGCGTTTCGGGTTCGAGGACTGCACTGGTGACATCCCGCATTGTGGGGGAGGTCAAAAGTGCTCTCTGGAAGCTGCGCTGCGGTAGTCTAGTTTTTACCGCGGGGGTTGGAAATTTGGGACGGCGTGCCTCGTAGCTGAGATGCATCACTGGCGGCCTACATAGCCATTAACGGGAAGAAATGTGTACATGAGAGTTTAATACACCGGCGCTGAAATGATACCGGACCCTGTCAAATAAGTGAGTTGAATTAGGGAGAGCAAGAAGACCGAACAGGTTGCAAAGTACTAGTGGCTCGTCCCCGAGTCGAACGGGCGTTCTGCTGCGAACGTGATATACAGATCGCCAATTCGATGCAGGCGTGGATCGAGTCGATATCAAGTGGGAGGTGTAACTTCTTAGGTTCCTCGTCTCAGTTGCAGTCAAGTTGAATGCGAAATCCGCTGTATATGGATCCGCAAGATACCCCGAGCGTATTTATTAAGTGTGTAGGATGAGGCAAAGAGAGAGCGAGCCAAAAATGGATGGGTACAGCTCATGGCTCGATCCCGAGTCGAACGGGCCTCCTTCTGAGAGTGAAATATCCGGAATGCAAATTCGGTGCAGGCGCGGACCATCCACCATCGAGCCGGTACAGGTAGGGAAGGGAGCTTGTTGGATTGATCCATCGTGGGGCGCATTGACAAAAAAAAGGGAGGTACCGCCATCCGATTGGAGCTCCTGCAAAAATAATTCAGTCAAGCAAGGTATAAAAACGAAGGGAAAGCGAACCTCGCATTAGGGAGGCAAACGAAATGCACAAGCAAAACAAGGTAGCAATGAACAAAATAAAGTCCCCCACAAGCAGTGACATGACCCCGGTCAAATGGGGATCTTCCGCGGTATACTCGTTGTAATGACTGCACACATAAGGGTGGAGGCGTGGAGATTCGCAGCATCAGGTGCATTAGATCCATCTGCGCGTACATCCAGTGAGGACATATAACTTAAAGGGTGAGGAGACCAACGAAACGGAGGGTGCAACGAAGCCAAAAAGAATGCCCGAACCCACAACTTGATGTGGCTCGACCCCGAGGCGAACGGGGATCTTCTGTAGTTTATGCAATTCCATTATCCGGTGCAGATTCGGACCGTCAGTCATCGAGCCGATACCAGCAAGATTCGTCCCTCATTGAGTGTGAATCATGACGGCTTCCCTGTGTATCAGCGAAAGGAAAGAAAAGCGAGGGCTGCGAGGCACGAAGCAAGATTTATTTGGAAGATGACACACCGCTCCGGAGTACCAGGAACGACACGGACGATTGAAAAAGTGAAACTATGTTCCTGGCAGCCTCTAGTGGCTCGACCTCGAAACTTCTGGCGTAAAGAGAAAGATACGTGCAATGCAGACGCGGTCGTCCGCCATCGAGCCGATGCTAGTCGGAGTGAGACCTCGCTAAGTTCAGGAATTGCGGTGCCGGAGAATGAGACCCACAGCCATCCTGCTGCGTGGATATGTCCCGACAATTAAACTAGTTGAACAAGGTGGAAGAAATGTGCAAGAATGAACCTCACCCGACGACGGAAAAGGAAGGCGCAAGAAAAAGACAATGCCATATGTACTGGGACGGCTCGACCCCGGGTCGAACTTGGGTCGAACGGGGATCTTCTGCAGGATTTACCTGCTCCAACTCGACAACGCCATCGAGCCGGTGTTGTAGTGGTGGGGTCGGGTCATTTATGTCAATGATTTACAGCTGCCGTGGAGACTGGAGAATGGGGCGAGTCGGAAAGAAGCTTGAGGGGTGCAATCTGCTGCACCGATCTGTCGGTAAATCAATATAGTTAAGCGAGATGCGAAGAATCAGGGCGGGATATATTTAATTAGACTCGCGTGGTCCACAACGTGAAGAACGAGTCTGCCGAAGACATGCATATGGGTGGTCATCCGTATATAAACCTAAAAGATGTCAACGGAGCACACACTGATTCCAGAGGGGCGATCACACAAGACGCTGAAATCAGTGAGGAAACCAAGCTGAGCTGACGAGGCAACAAAATGCGCGCCAAAAAAACAGGATGGTCCAGTCCCTAGTGGCTCGACCCCGAGTCGAACGGGGACGTTCTGCGATATATTCATAATGGCAGTCTATGTATGAAGGGCAGATGCAGACCGTCCGCCATCGAGCCGGTAGTATGCTAGTGCGGTCGAGTCGTTTGTATCAATGGTTGTGCAGCCATCCGTGGAGATTCGAGAATCCGGGTCGAGTCCGAGCGCACTGCGCAGAGAGTCCAGATTCCAGGGTTTCTGAGCAAAATGCTGCAGCTGTTCGAGGAGATTCGAGAATCGAGTCGAGCGCAAGAGAAATTAGATTCTAGATTCCAGTGTGTCGTCTAGGGCTCTAACCCGTGACCGTAGGCTACGGTTCGACGGGTCGTTTTTACGGTTACGGGCCCGTACGTAAAGGCCTCCGCCGAATTCACTTACGGGTCGGCTGCGGTACGGGTGGACCCGTATACGGGCTACCCGTACCCGTCCGTGTACGGGTCTACGGGTCCACTGGGTAACCTTAGAAACCCCGCCGGAACTCTGCGAGAGAGCGGTGATCAAACTCGTCCAAGAGCAAGTGTAGACCAGTGGTAGATTATAGTCAAGGCAAAGGGGTTATGGAGACACCATAAATGCAAAAAAGGCACGATTCCGTCGGTGAGGCTGTAAATCGGGGGGTTCCAGCTGAGGATCGAGACGCCACACAGGCTTCGAGAGCGCGATTTGAACGCGATTTTACGCGTCGATCGGGGTATGGACAGGATATTAGGAGCAGGATGCACGCGGGATGGAGCTAGAGTGCGATGCCGTGATCTGCCGAGTTGATCGTTGGGCGTCTAATCAGGCGACGAATTCCGCGATTACTAGCGTGCAAGCGTGCGCGTCAGTAGGTAAAATGGTATGTAAGTGGTTTGAATTCAGCTTGGCGCTATGCGGTGTGCAGTGCCACCAAACATTGGATAATTCTATTCAGAAACCCCGGTTGCAGGCAGAAACCCCCCTCTTATTCGGAAACCCTCCGATTATTGAACTTTTGGGGGTTTCTCCGTGATCCGGATGTCCGGCCATCACATGCCAAACAAACAAATGCGAGTTTACCTCCAAGTCGCGTCAATGTCGCGCCAATAAAAGGTTTTCAGGCATTTTTCTCACCCCAAAAGTCTTCTCTTCAGGGCTTATTTTGATTGACATATTGTGCTCCAGTACTTAGATTTGTCCTGCGCAGTGTTCCTGATGCAGTGATCGCTTCTCAGGGCATACACTGAGTTTACTAATTTAGTTTCCATGGTTGGACTTGGAGAGTTGACTTGAAGCGCCGTTCCATGTATGTTCTTGCATGTAGACTGGGTCCTAGCCATCTAATGGCAGCCATAGAAGAAATTGAATCTGACAAATGTCAGAGTCTCCTCGTGAACCTGGTTCAACTGTCAGGCCAATGTTGTCCCGATGATGGCAAAAAGGTTCGTATTTCACTATCCTGCCTCTCTACTACAACCAACACTGCATTTTGAGTTTCTCGGTAGCGCAAAGTACATGTCTTGGATTTGGACCCAAATCAGTGACTTCCGGCCCCATCTGCTACTGGATATCTATGTGTCTCACCGCAGTAGCATATCAGTATTGCGCGCGCATTGGGGGCCCACCTCGCAGCAATATTGACATGCAGTGCCCCCCACTGGGTTCGTACTCACATGACATGGATGGCAGATAACTGTGGAATTCCAACACATAACCATGTTATTCAAGACATAGCTCTCACCTGGGCCGAACGATATCCGCGCCGTCTGCGGACGAAAAGGACTCTTACGGCGCGACGATCTCGTCCGTTTCCGACCACTTCAAGAGGCTTAATCCTGCTGATTTATTTTGAGATCTACAACTATGATCTGAACTGTATTTTCTTGCAGCTACGAACTTGGCCACCGGTCCGAATTAGGCAGGTCCCGGCCGCAGAAACCAAGGTTTCTGGGTAGAAACTATTTTTGGATGGGGGTTTCTGTCTGCAACCGGGGTTTCTCAATAGAATTATCCCCAAACATTGCCCCGTCATTTGCCGATTTTAAAAATTCACCAATTATTCCACCTGTTTCGCTTGCAAATCTCGGATTGTGGAGCTATATTTAACCTGCATGTCTCGGCCAGTTTAAAGGCTGAGACGATACAGATGTTCATGTTCGTTAAAACCCGTTTGCGTTATGCGAGGGATCATTCGGAGAAGTTTTACATTTAACCTGCTATTAATATGTTACCATGTCTAGATACCGGCATTATGTATATAAAAAACCTGTTTTCTACGGCCGTAAACCGTATACGGGTGGGACCCGTCCATAGAGGGTTGCCGATGTGAGCTCTGCGGGACGGTTACGGGACGGGTGGCCTCGGCTACGGCCGCAAACACCCGTTCCGTAAAACGGTTCGTACGGGTTAGAGCCCTAGTGTCGTCGGAACTCCGAACAGTACTACAGGCGGTACGCAGTGCGAGACTAAGGAAAGCAGCGTAGAGCCGGACGGTCCTTTTCCGGGCAGGATTTGTTTCTGGGCCACAGAAGACGGTCGACTAAGAGATATCGAGAGTAAGGAGGTGTTTGCCCCCGCATCCCTCGGATCACCCCGGGTTACACCGGCACCGTCACCGTCACACCACCACCTACGAAAAACACCCATGCCATCCAAAATGTCAGGAACCGGCTCGTTCATCTTGTCGCTATTCCCCACCAAGCACGCCGACGCCGTCGAGGAGAAGCCCGCCCCTGCCGAGGAGCCCAAGGAGGAGGGGCCCACGGCGGAAGAGGAGCCCGAGGATGTGCGTCTCTCCTCTTGAGGGTGTGTCTGTGATAGAGAGAGTGCTGACACAATGTAGGATGCAGGTGCACCCGGCGATCCGCGCAGAGTATGAGGCGCGGCGCGACTGCGCGCCGATGAAGCACGACTTTAAGAAGTGCCAGGAGAAGATGCAGGCCGGCAAGGGCTTCAAGGGCGAGGAGTGTGTCGAGGAACTGTGCGTGCCCTCGACGCAGGTGTAGGCCCTGCCCGCTGACTCGCTCTCCCTCGGCGTTCTCGGCGTCTCTTGCCCACAGTCCAGTAACCCGCCGCCCCAGCCCCTCGTCATCGTCGTTGCTAAGCCAACCCACCGCAGCCTGATGCACTGTTCCGAGGCCTGCCCCGCGCTGCAGCTCTTCACCAGCAAGCCCCGACTTGGACGGTTACAACCCGCATACCCTTACGTCCGCGCGGCTCTCGATGCGTCCACGGTGCGGAACTCGGCGGCGGTTTCCTCCACATGAATTGGCGCGGGAAAGGTGCGCCCTATGACTCCGGATTCAAATACTCCGACGCGGTGCGCAACCACTGGCCATCATGCTAACATACTGTAGCTCCGCCCTTCGCCCGCTTACTCACACGCCGCACAAGCCTCGATACTCCCAGCGCACCCAGCATACCTGCATGATGCAGCGCCGGCGCTGCACAGCCGTTCGTGCGCCTCGACGTCTCTACCTCGCGCCGCTCTTGATTTCCCCACGGTGGGTCCCGAGTCCGCCCGTTTGGCGCGCCGTTCCGCGTTCCCGCACGCGCCGGGAGCCGCAGTGGCTTTGAGGGCACATGCCCCGAAGCGCGCGCATAGCCCGAAGTGGCTTCGGGCGCATGTTCGACGCACTGAAGCGTATCGTACGTACTCTAGATACGCCGTACGTAGTACTCATATACACCGTGACCCCCAAGCGAATACATTTTCATCCACTTCACTCACAACACAAATGGCCGCGCGGCGCAAGTGCTAGGTGGTGTGTCGCGACGCGTCGAGTGTTTCGCAAGCGCCGGCGAGCGCTCGAAGGCCAAGTACTGTCTGGATCGAAATAAATCGTACCTTGCATCCGAGGTGAGTGAGATACCTCCAAAGTGCTACAGCGACGTATCCTTCGAGTGGCCGGCCGGGGAAGATTTAAAGGACGTGACTCACGCACGGGCTCGCAGCGACCTGTACTCACGCCCCAACGCTTGCTAGGACCCACGAGCGCATAGGGGAAGCGTCCTGTGCATTTAGGTTGGATGCATCCCGCCTATTTAATTTAATATATCTGAGCATGGGCAAGTCAGAAGACAGACCTGAATCCAGGAAAAGATTCCGCGACGGAACAAAAAAGGTTGAAAGAAATGCGTGATGGCTTGACCCCGAGTCGAACGGGGATCGTCCGCGGGCAACGCCATCGAGGTTTACGCAGTGCAGATCGTCGAGCCGGTACTAATCCGGAGCTGTACCTCTTTTCCTCAGTCAGAGTATTCAGAAGGCGAGCCCAACCAAAAAAAGCCATTTCTCCGAGGTGACCAAGATACAACCGAATCTAAATATCCACGTCAGTGACTCCGACCACTCGAGGAAGAGAGAACTTCCCAGTAACGCATGATGAGTCACCCAAGAGTTGAACGAAGCATACCTCCCCCAGAGTCCAAGTTATAGTTGATAATCGACTTATGAAATACATTTGAGTGGACTTACTCGTACGTCGAGAATGTGTGGGTTGGATGGCGTTCCGGAACATGGTTTCGAGTTCTACAGTAGAGACAGAACAAGCCAGCCAGGTAAGTATACGAATAAATAACGGACATAGCTGGTTTTATTCAGCGATAGTTTCGGTTTTTCGGAGGTTAAACGGTAGCTACGTATTGAGACGCAGAACGCAAGTCTCCGATAGTCAAGACTGAATTCAACATACCTGCGAGCATACAGCATACCTCCGCCTGTAAATTTCTATGCTGAAGTCAATAAGAGCGCAAGGATAAGTAGATTGAAGCGGCGACGGACGGGCGGGTTCTGCGAACGATCCTCAGAGCGTTAGAGGGATAAACTTTAACATGTACTGGTTTGTGGGCATAACGCGGCCCCAGCGTAGTCTTGGGGTAGGGCGTGGGCGTGAAAACGGGCAGGGGGACGGCGTGTTACATGCGTGGTGGTGGTTCGGAGAGGGCTGGGAAGGAGATTAGATGGAAGGCGATGGCGAGAATCTGAGATAGATCATCACAGGCGTAACGACGATGATGGGTGAGAACGTACTGGCATAGTTTCGTGACACAGCGCGCGGGCGTGAAATGATGAGTCGGATGGGCATGGAGATAGAGTGTTGAACGAGTGCGGGCGCTACAG